ATCATTCATTCATTCATTCATTCATTCATTTATGAGAATGTATATAGCAGCCTATTAACTCACAGTGATGCTAGGTGGCTTATAGACAATAGAATATGTGTAAAATATAATAATAAAAGTAAAATAAAATAATAATGCCCTGTCAGTGACTATACACAATCAAATCAGCCATTTAAAGGGCTCTATTCCATTCTTTGTTCTTCAAACCTGCTGGTGAAACCACATCTTCAGTTCCTTATGAAAGAATGTCAGGCGCCAGTCTAATTTTTGGAGGGATAATGTTCCAGAGAGACGGAGCCACTATAGGGGCCATTCTGCAAGAGACTGTCACTCAGATAACCTGGTCCCAAGGATGAAGGGCTTTAATGGTGACAACCAGCATCATGAATTGCACCCAGAAGCAAATTGGCAACCAATGCAATTCCCACGTGAGAGGTATCACATGTGCACATAGAGGTCTGCACAAAACCATGGAGACCAATGGAAACTGAACCAACTGGAGCTTCTGGAGGCTTTTCAAGGGCAGCTATATGTAGAGTGCATTGCAGTAGTCAAGACAGGTGACTAAGGCATGAATAACCGTGAATAGGGATTGTTGGTCCAGGAAAGGATGTAACTGGTGCACACTTGCATGTGCAAAGCCCCTCTGCACACAACTGCCACCTGCTCTTTCAAGCAGGAATCGCAAATTCCAGGAGAACCCTGTTTATTCTCTCAGTCTGTTTTGTGCGCAGAACCACCCATCCAAGACCAAAGATTGGCAATTGTCCATGGACCAAAGAGCCCCAAACCCAGATTCACACAATCTTGCCAGGGTTCAGGTTCAACCTGTTTTTTCCCCACCAGTCCCTAACAGCCTCCAGGTACTATGTGAAGGAGATCAGGGCATCACTTAACTCCCCATGGACTGAAATATATAGCTGAGTATCATAAGCATATTGATGATATCTCAGTCCATAGTAATGGATGATCTCACCTAATGGCTTCATGTAGATTTTAAATAGCAGTGGAGGAAGCCCAGTGGAACTCCGCAAGACAGTGCACAAGGACTGGACCTCTTGCTTCCTATTAACACTGGGAGGGAGGGAGGAAGTTAACCAGGATACCACAAAGTCCCCTATTCCCAATCCCTGAAGTCACTCCAGAAGGATACCATGGTTGATGGTATTGAAAGAGGCCAAGTAGAGCAAGGATGGATGCACTATCCCCATCCTGCTCCTGCCAGAAACCATCAAAATATCTGACCAATGCTGTTTCTGTCCCATATCCAGGCCTGAATCCTGACTGGTAGAGGTCTAGATAATCCATTTCATCCAGAAACCTCTGGAGCTGCCACATAATTACCTTCTCAACAACCTTCCCCAAAATGAAAACAGTTGAAAACAGTCCAACCTTCTTAATAAGAGGGTGGACCGCAGCCTTATTAAAGTGCTGGGGCACTACCCTCTCCTGTAAAGAAGCATTAATCACCACCAGAATCTAACCACATGTCATCTCCCAGGAAGCTTTCACAAGCCAGGAGGAGCATGGGTCTTGTTGTGGCCCATCAACAGCCTGTGCAGCTAGTAGCTGATTCCGACAGCGAGGAGGCTGGTATGGTGCTGCACCAGCAGCCTGTGCAGCTGGCACTCGAGTCAGACAATGAGAAGGCTGGTGAAGATGTGGCGCCAGAGGCAGGAATTCAGCCAGGGCCTTCAGAACCTCCAGAAGCTTCCATGGGTGAAGAGGAAGAAGAGGAGGAGCGTCTTCTCGATGCATGGGCGCGCAGAGCTGCCAAAAGGCAGGAGTGGCTCCTCAGGAGGAGGTCTCCTCGAGAGTAAGGCTTGGGGCTAATTGGCCACTCCTTTAGCTTATTTATGGAAGGACAATGACTGAAGCAATTTGCAGGGAACAACTTTGTTCATTCTCCTTCGCGTCTGGATCTTAGTTCTCTTATCAGTTTCCTGCAAATTGTTTCTGGGCTTTCTGCCAACCATAGTAAGATTACGATTATTTATTCTTTGGATTCTTGTAGGCTATTAAGAAAATTAATTAACAGCCTTTGTTTGAAAAAGACTGATTTAATTTAGTAAACTAAGATTTGTACAGACTTTGTGTGTGCTGCGTTCTTTGGGGTTTGTAGCTGGGGCAGAACAGGTCTAAAACAAAGATGCTTGCATGCATCCATCCTGGGAACCTGTCCACTTCCTCAAGAGCAGCAGAGTGAAACTGTTTCCAGATAACAGGGCAAGAATCTGCCCCAGGAGCCTCCAGCAGATTAGCAACTATGCCAATATCTAATTCAGAACAAAGTTGAGTGATGTTGTCTTCCAGAAAATCCACAAATTCCTCAGTGCGCCCCTTCAGGTGGACCACCGTCTCCTCCTTCCCCAGGAAGAGATAGCTCTTGGGCATTCAGGCCAGGCCTTAGCTCCAACTGATCACAGCACACAGAAGGTAGTTCACTGAAATCCAGGGGAGTCCAGGGAAGGCACATAGTCATAAATCATCCACCTCATATTCTCTGTATCATCAAGCTGTACCTTTCCAATCTCTCCGCTCTTCAGGCTCTCAGCCTTTCTGCTTTTCCACTTTACTTAAGGTGTTTTGGAGGGCTTTAATTTATTTTGCACACTATGGTGATACCCTGTTGTTATAGTAGTCAGTGGTACCAGATCACCAGGTCAGCAGAAATTAACACCCAGTTAAGCAGGGATTAAGCCACATTAAATAAATGTTGAAAATATGATCTCATTAGTGGCTTTAGCAAAATTATCCAAACTGACTTGAAGCAACAGCATGAGAAAAAATTCAAAAATCGTGCATTTAGGTGAAAAGTTTGGCTTCACTATTAACAAAACTACCAGGACCGCATACTCAAAAAAGTTTTAGAAAAGATGCAGATCTTGAGTTCTTGTGGACTTTTAAAATGCAGAGCAATATTTGGAAGTGTTACATTTATTGGACTTGACACTACTGACTACAAACTCCCCCATCTGCCCCACAGTACATCCAGGATACAGAACCGTTCAGTTTAGGGGTGAAATGCTCCTGGTTTGGACTGGATTGCCCGATCTGATAGCAATGGTGGCGGGTGGTTCAGAGAACCGGTAGCAAACATCCCTGCCACCACCTCCATGCCCAGCTGAGCCACGCAATCATCAGAGGCTTTTAAAAAAAAATTTAAAGCATTTTTTCTATAACCTCTTCCGCCGAAAAAATGCTTTTAAAAGTTTTTTTAAAAAGCCTCTGATGATCGTGTGGCTCAGCTGGGATCGTCAGAGGCTTTTAAAAGCATTTTTTAAAAAACCTTTTCGGCCAAAGAGGTTGTAGAAAAAATGGCTTTAAAAGTAAAAAAAAAAAAAGTTGGCCACGCCCACCCAGTCACATTACCCACCCCCACCAAGCCATGCCCACAGAACCGGTAGTAACAAATTTTACATTTCACCACTGCTTCAGTTAAATGGAACATACCCAATCTAAACTCCGTGACGTTCACCACCAACTTGGACAATTTTCAAAATTTTAAGAGGGAAAGCTTCTAGAAGAGTTTAAGGGGAAAAAAAGCATCCACAAGGATTAAGGAACTAGCTACTACAGCAGTTTTAACTCTTAGTCCTTTGCAGAGAGGTTCATTATAGTTCATCATAGTTCCTTCTAGAGAATTTTAGTAGCAAAGATTGAAAGTGAACCATAAGTCTGGCCCCCATCCACTTGTCCAAATGTCCATTCACCAGACCGCAACAAGAAGAGATTGGCAAATACTAAGACTGATAATAAATTCCCAATTCACCCGCCATCTCTTCATGTCCAGGAATAGCCTATCCAGAACCAGCTATGTGAATTATCTTACTGACAGTACCAAATGTGTATCATTCACTGCTGCTTATCCCCTCATGTTAGATTAATGAGCTTCCTTCAGGCATTCATCTTTTATTCTTAAATATGCAGAAAGACAGGTTAGTCTTTCTCATACATTTGAATCATCTTCATGGATAGCATTCCTGTCATTTCCCAAAATAAATAAGGGGTAAAATGAGAGTGGAAGGTAGAACATTTTTTTCCTCTTGAAAACTGCACAAAATTTAGATTAAAACCTCACCAAATTCAACACAGTACCACTTTAGATAAGGCAGCAGTAGGATATAGCATAAAAACAAAAAAATAATAATTATCTTATGGGTCCCTTATTTCCATTTCGTTTACTTAGTGTGACATGTTTTGGATGTGACATCCTGTTTTTCCACAATTTAAAAATAAATCAGTAGAGTACAAGGCAGCGAAGGACTGGCAGCTAGACTTAGTAGCATTGGGATCTTGGTCACCAGAGAATCAAGATGTGGCTTTTTTAAAAAAAAACCAAAAATTGAGTCACATAGCAATGGATCAAGGAAGGAACAGATCTTTGTGCAAGAACATCTGCTGCATTTGGAGCTGACTCACTGGTGGACTTTCTTCTTGTTAGTACAGTACTCTGGATCTCTGTTGAATGTAAGCACAATTGGCCAGCCTTGGAAGCAAAAGGGAAGGCTGTCCACTTAACATTCCCATTATGGTGGAGAATGGGGAGGGAGCCACACTGGGGCTGTCCTCATGACTCTTTGTCCGGTGAGTTTGAGTATATTTTTTGAATAACCTATCTAGGGCAAATGCCCTACAGGTATCCAGAGAAGGGAGGAGGAAGAAAGGAAGAATCAACATGGCTTTCTTTGTCGAGGTACCATTAAAACTTGATTGATTCTTGGTTCTGGGTAAGAGCCAAAAGACAACTTGGTGGTAAATGAATGAAGGGAACCCTCTACCAGATTAAGAGCAGCAGGAGAGGGAGCCTACGAGAGTCGGTTTATATGAAGGTGTTGTTCTCTTTGTCTGTCTGTCTGTCTGTCTGTCTGTCTGTCTGTCTCTCTCTCTCTCTCTCTGCATGTGTGTGTGTGTTTTGCAGTGTGTGAGGAAGTGGTAGATGGGTACACTAATGACACTGAGAGCTAATGTTTCCAGTAGGGTAAAAACCAACATAAACCAACCATCCAAAAACATTTTATTTAAAACCGATCACATCATAGTAGAACTGATGAGAACAATTGTAACTGAATAACACAGAGGACCATGTTGGAGATGTCTTTCTCCAATTGTCACTGAGTGGCTTCACAGTACTGAACATCCATAATAATTTCATCATTAATGTTACCGGCCAGGGCATAGTTAGAGAAGGGTTGGTGTGCAGTGCTGTTTTGGCAGCCCAAGTTACCTATAATCCACAATGCCTCTCAATCTTTCCTTGACATCCAATGTACTGTTGGCATAGCTGTCTATTGGTCAAAGGATCTGCATCTCACATGCTTCATTTTCAAGCCTATCCTGGAGACTTCTCTTCAGAGACCGACTGATGATCACTGCAGGTCAATCCTGAAGCAGACTCAATCAGTAGCTTCAGATGATTCTAAAGTTCATTTAAGAGTTCACTCAATAATAAAAGTATTTATCAGGCTACAGAAAAAGCCACCTATTATTCATTGTATCTGTAGCAGTTTTTTTTTAGTCAATGGCTTTGGTGGGAGAGGAACAAGCAGTTTTTCATCAATCCTGGAAAGAAATTCCCTGACTTAAAGCAAGAGAGACACGGGTTAATCTATTATGACTAATATGACTGGACTAATTCTTAGTGGGAATAAAAATATTCTAGCAGAAAAATGAAGAACTAATAAAAAACTGATAATGGATTTTAATTGTGATTTCTTGCTACTACAACTTTCTGCATGTTAATAGAAACTAGGAACCATCACACTGGGACAAGCTGCTTCTGAATTATCTCTTCCTTCCACCTTGAACTTGGAGTTTTAAGATCCAAAATTAAAACAATTTAGAAATGAGAGATTTGCTTGACTTACTCTGACTGAACTCTACTTTACATAGATCAGGGGGTTTCTTCCCCTCCGAAGAAGCCAAATTTCCTAATACGAAATGTGTCTGGGAGACATCTTTAAACAATGAAATTATTGATGTCTTTGTTTTTCAAATTGACTGTGCTTACACTGGATGGGTTTTTCATTCTTACCAAAGGTGAGTTACACTGGTGTTCCTTCATCATTTGATTTCATAGCATGGACTCTTCCCTGAAATTTTCCACATGGGTTTCTTAGCCCATTCTTGAACCAGATAACCAGGCCAGTACAAACAATTGTGAGACAAAAAGCACAGAGCATTCCAATTACACTTGAGGTTTTCATATAGGCTTTAGCCTGTATTGAAACTGGAGGTGGCCCACTGTCTATGCTACCTCCATAGCCTTTATCTCGGCAGTCTGGAGGAGCCCATCCAACATCACAGTGACAGTGTTTGAGAGTGTTACAAACTCCCCGATTGTGGCACATTGTGACATTACAGTCATATTTCAAAATGGATACATTGAGACAACTACCCTGAATACACATCATGTTATTGCCACAAGGAGTACCATCTCTCACTGATCCAATATCATTCACCTTCATCCCAGAGTGGTAGTCAGTGCCCCAGCATTGATTAACTCTGGTGGAAGTTTGAATTATTGTACTGTGATCCTCCAAAGAAGGAATTTGTGTATTTTCACACTGGATACGGCCACACAGGCTATCCCCAGTATCACATTTCTTGTAAATTCCATGTTTAAGGCCACAGTTGCCAAAGCGATCACCTTTATTATTCACTTCTATGAAGCAAACTTCAGAAGCGACTTTTGATCCACTGCCAAATATCATTTTGCACTGCATATCATGAGTCGTGCAGTTCCCATGATAACAATACACACCATCATTGCACACGGCGCCATCTTGCACATGCATGTCTTCTGGACAGTGCTCTGAGGTCCCATTGCAATATTCAGGGAGATCACAACTGCTAATCTTCTCTCTGCAAACAGTTCCACGTTGACGATACTGGCAGTTAGCACAGCACAGTCCAAAGGCACAAACAGCCGCAGGGCGCAACATACAATTAGCTTGACAGCAGGGATCTGACTTGCATTGTGTTTCTGACCCACAGTCACACTGCTCTCCCTTTTCCACTCTTTTGTTACCACAGGATTCAAATTTAAATGTTGTGTTAGTGTCTGGTGGGACAAATAAACACCCACTGTTTCTATAGTGGAAATAATCCTTGTAACTGCAGTTACTAAATGTATCACTCTCTGCTGCATAGGGTGCCATAATGCATTCACTCTTTCCACAATGACAATATCCTTCATCATGCTGCATTCCAAGAACGTGTCCCAGTTCATGGGTAAATATGACAGACATATAAAACAAACTGGGAGTTCTATAGGATTCAATAGCACTTGCCCCATTCATGCTACATATAGTACCCATATATGCAAGTCCTACTGTTATCCCAAAATCTTTATAAGCAAATAAGTGACCAACATCATTCTTTAAAATGTTAACTAAATTGTATGTTCTCCATTCATTAAATGAGGCAAGTGTGTCATCTGCTACATGGGAAATTTTTATGAGATTTTTTTGTGACCAGATCACTAAGCCTGTTATTGATACATGAACAGAAAGTGCATCAAACAATGAATTTGCAGCATGCACAATATCTAGAACTCGCAAGGTAATAAAAGATTCATTTCTGTGAAACTTCAAATATCGTTCATGATCAATCACAATTGCTACCTTAACATATCTCCTATGTGGCCACCAGGATTTTCCAAAAACGTCTTTGTTTCCAAGATTCTGTGTTTCAGGAATTATGTCCTTTTGATGAGTCTGTTGTTCCTCTCCTACTCCACATGTCATTCGGAGAGCCCCTTCCTCTACTTCTAACCGAAACACCACGTGTTGAAAGGTAGAAGATTCCTGGACTGGTTCAATTTCATAGGTCTTATTTTCCATTTGCAGGAGACCTCTCAGTCCTCCTGAACATGTACTGAGGGTGACTCGAGAAGAGGACTTTCTCTGTATAAATCCATAGTAGAAACAGTCATCCTTGATAAAAGGATGATCCACCTGGAGATCTCCTGCTGTATCATAGGTGAAGACAGGAAAGGCCTTTGGGATGAAATTCCTTCTTTTCCTGAGGAACAGCACCTGGGGATTTCCTTCAATGTGCAGGAGGTAGCTGACATGCTGGGGTTCTTCTTGCCCGTACTTGGGAGACAGCTTCCTCGGGATGATCACGTCATAAGAGGCATATCTGAAGCCCTGAGGAGGTGCCTGTCTAGAAGCTGCATTTTGGATGATCTTCAGCAATACCACACTCAACAATGCCACACAGGTACTCATTTTCACAAAACGAGGGTAGGAACTGACCATATTTTGGAAAACGAAGAGAGATATTGACAGATAGAGAGATAGATAGATAGATAGATAGATAGATAGATAGATAGATAGATAGATAGGATAGATAAAGAGATAGGGAGGAGGGAGGGGGGAGAGAGAGAGGGAGAGAAGAGAGAGAGAGAGAGAGAGAGAGAGACTTAAGATTTGAAAATGAGGATTCTGAACATACCGGTAGCAACAGAAATGCAGTAGATTTTTGGAATGGAGGCGGAGTTTAAACAACCAGTGTAGAATAACTACCATTAATATCCTAGTACTCTTTAAGTTATCTAACAGGAATAAATTGTATATTTTCTATGGTTGGCCCAAGGTGTGAACTGAAGTTCAATAATTGAGTGGCTAGTGAAGTAGCCTATCACACCAGGAGACATGTGGCTTTGTAAGAGCTCAAAATCAATAACTTGCTGAAGCTTCTAATTTCTAATTCATGCTTATTTGGCTTTTCCTCCTTTCATCCAGGTCATGAAAGACTAGTGCTCGACCACCTGAGAACAATCTGCTTTTAGGTCCCTTGCAATTTGCCTGCCGAGCAAATAGATTTACAGATGATGCTGTTAATATGACTCTGCACTACATCCTACAACGTCTTGAATCTCCAAAGACATATGCAAGGGTCCTCTTTGTAGACTTCAGCTCAGCATTCAATACCATCATTCCAGATATTCTTATAACTAAACTAAATCAGCTAGCTGTACCTGACCACTCTTGTAAATGGATCATAAGCTTCCTAACAGACAGGAAGCAGCAGGACAAGCTAGGCAAAATCAAAACTTAAAATGGACACCTAACATCAAAAACATCACCAAGAAAGCTCAACAAAGAATGTTCTTTCTGAACTAACTCAGAAAGCTCAAACTGACCAAGGAGTTGCTGATCCAGTTCTACAGAGCAATTATGGAGTCTGTTATCTGCACCTCTAACCAAACAAGACGAACATAGAATTCAACGGATAATTAGAACTGCAGAAAAAACAATTAATACCAACCTGCCTTCCATTGAGGATCTGTATACTGCAGACCCCTCACATCCTGGACATAAATTGTTTCAGGTTCTACCCTCAAAACGATACTATAGGGCACTGCACACCAGAACAACTAGACACAAGGACAGTTTTTTCCTGAATGCCATCACTCTGCTTAACAACCAATTCCCAACAACACTGTCAAATAATTTACTAAGACTGTATTACTATTATTCTTCTCTTCCTTACTAGTATCTATCTCTTCCCACTTATTACTATAACCATGTTGCTTTTATCTTTCAATTTATATTGTTTTTATTAGTTTCCTAGTCTGATTTGATAGCTTATTAGTAACCTTGACTATCACTAAGTGTTGTAACTTTTTATTCTTGAATGTATTTTATTCTCCTTATGTACACTGAGAACATATACACCAAAGACAAATTCCTTGTGTGTCCTATCACACTTGGCCAATAAAGAATTCTATTCTATTCTACTCTATTCTTTGGCTATAAAAGGATCTGAGGCTTTTTCATACCAAGTGGCTCAGTCTTTGCCTTAAGAATTTTCACAACTATTGGGGAGTGAGGGAGAATCTGTTAAAGACTACAAAGTTGCACTCTTAGCACAAACAACCCCAATTTTAAAGACTGAACAGACTGTGGTTTTATGTTACGTGAAAGATCAACAAGAAGAATAATTGTCCTGTTCAAGAAAGATTGCATTCGATTCTATAGATTCTATGCATCTGATGTTGAATGGGATCAAAAGCCTACTAAAAATAGATTCCAAAAATGAATGTTTTGGCATCTTTGCTTTTTCATTATCTGTTTCCAATGGTCTACAAATATTGTTTTATTTCTAGGTGCCTGTTGATGGCTGATTTGTTTGAATACCAAGAATCCAAGAATTCCCTTGCACTTTGAGAATGAGCTTGGTCTAGGATGACCATTTCCCCATTCAAATTATGGTTGCATCTCTCCATGTGTTTTGGGATTAAGGAGTTTTCATTGTGTCTTCTCGCTGCTAGTTGGTGTTCATGGCTGTGCTGTGCTAGTCTTTTGCTGTCTGTTCTGCTGTCTGTCATACCTAATAGTTGTTACAGTCCTTACCCTGTATACAGGGGTGAAATCTACTTACCTTCTCTACTGGTTCGGAAGTGCGCGCTTTGGTTTACTTTGGAGGGCTTTAGTTGATTTATGTCCTATGATGAATTCTTGTTATTATAATAGTCAATGGCACCAGTACACATGGTCACCAGCAATTGACACCTATATAAGCAGGGATTAAACTGGGTTAAATCGAAGTTTAACTATAATTTTCATTAGTGGCGGTAGCAAAATTGCCCAAACTGAGTTGAAGCCATATCAGACACAGTTGAAAAAATTGTACATTGGAACATGTGAAATGTGAAATGTTTGGCTTGACGGTTATCTACAATTACTAGGACCATATGCCTGAAAAGATGCGGAAGAGATCTTGTGGGATTTTAAAATTCAGAAGATGTACCTGAAAGACACCATAGCCAGCATTACTATTATTGAAAAATAAGAAAGTGTGATTTGTAGATATACTGTAACAATATTAGGACATAGTCAATAGGATGAAAAACAATTGGAAAAAGTAAAAACAAACAGAAAATCAAGGGTTTCTTTAAAAAAGAAAAGGAACAACCATTAAGGCAATGGTAATCAAAGCTCTTTGAGTGATACCTAAGGGATTTACCAAATAATTGGAAGCGTTACATTTATTGGATTTGACATTTCTGACTGCAAACTCCCCCACCAGCCCAACTGTATCTCCAGGTATCCAAAGCCTTTAGTTAGATCAGTGGAACGAACCCCATTCACTGTAAGAATAGGGAAAATCATCAACATCATCTTTTGATTATTTTCTGGTGATGGTTGGATTGTGAATTGATGGAAGTGTGGGTGTGCTACACAGTTACACAGATGTCCACTTTCTACATCTACTCCAACCATCCTCCTAAAATAAAAGCATATGTATAAATATCCTTTCATCATTTGCTCCTCTAGGCTGGGGCTTTTCAAATTGAACTTAAATGGTTTCCCAAATGTGTTAAGGGAAAGCTTCTGCAAGAATCAAAGGGAAAAAAATCCATTGTCAAAGAAACTGACTTGGCACACAACATGGATTGAACAAACTGTTACAGTTCTTGAAGAAGTGCTGTCGTCTTCCTTTTTCCTCTCAATCCATGTGTTGCTGTTTCCATGGTCATCTTCCTCAGAAAAAGTTTTCAGGGCTCTCAACTGGAATTTCTAGGAAAAGCAGCACTGTGAATTTCTATGATACTGTAAATGTAGCAGAAAAAGATGGGGAGTGGAAGTCAACATACATGTGGCACTTTAGACCTGGTTAGTTTTTATGGGCAGATGCCTTGAAGAAAACAGCTCCTCCCAGTCTAGAAGCAATAACTATTAAGAAATATGACAGCAGTTTCTTCTAGGTATTCTACATTATGAAGGAAAACATCAAAAGATACTTTGAAAGCTTTATTTAAGTCCAGGGATTTTTGGAAAGCAAATTAATGGATAAATATAACATAAATGTACTGGGGACAAATAAGTAATACAAGCCTTTGGACTGTCAAAGCAAAAGCAGAAATGTTGCAGCATGTGGAATAAACGAGGAAGTATGATGTTTCAGAAAAAGGAGCGATGAGAAGAAAAAGCTGGTTTTGGCATTGGATATTCAGAGGAGTGGCAATGAATGCAAGTTCACAAGCAGAGCAGGAACACAAATAAGAAACGTAATGTTGCAGAAATCCACAAAGAACTATGAAACAAACATCTCAAGAAGGCTATTTCACATGTTTCCAGCCAAGATTCGGTCCTGACAGCTGTTAAAAACATCTTCCTGACCTATTTAGTAGTCTTTTGTGATTTTTTCCTACTAACAAGAGCATGCTGATTGTACAAGTGATCTTTGGTGTGAAGAAGATGATTCTATCAAATGAGGACAAAAAATACAAAGACATCATAGTGTTACTAGTAGTAGAGATGAAAGAGATTTATCTCTGGGTTATGAGGAAGTGTCATTGATCATTTCCTGCTGATACAACTCCAATTGTGACTGTCCAATTGGAGAAGGTTACCACAGGATTTAGTTTCTCTTGGTAGTTTCTATTGAAAGTTATGAATTAATTTTAGAACTGTTTACCTCTTTTGTTATACAGAAATTCAGATAAAAAGGATGCCTCTTTAATAAAATTAATATATATCAGAAGTCCTTTCCTTTCAAAGAAAGGTTTTTCATAAATCAATCTGAAAGAAAAATCATATTAAAATGGAATGTAAACACTAAGATGCCACCCCCCCCCAAGTTAGTTCATTTAGTCTTTATCCATGGCTTCCAAGATTTTTATCTGATACCTTGTATGTTGTTATGGTTTATGATTTAGTGTTGATATTCTTCTTCTGCTGATTCTGTTGGATGCCCCTCAGTTACTAAACACGTACATTAGTGTATTTCTGAAATGTACAACCACGGCAACAGAAATAACAGCACCACAAAGGCCATATATTAATCTTCCTATCACTCTAGTTTTTGCAAAATGTCTACCCACATCCAGTTGTCCAGGTGATCCAAGAACAAAAACTGACACCCAAAGAATAGACAATATTGAGTTTTGAATTTGAGTGCATGCCCCTTACAGGAAAGTTGGAAACAATCCATAAATGGGCCACAACAGGCCAGAGACTGCTTGTTTGAAAGATACTTGAGATGCTCTATTACTGGATTGATCTATGATAGAGAGGACAGGAACAAGCACCCTTCAAATTTTTCATCAATCCTGGAAAGAAATGTTCTGATTTTCAGCAAGAGAAGAACAGGTTTAACCTATTATTATGACTGACTGGATTAATTCTTAGTGAGAACAAAAATATTCTAGCAGACAATGAAGCAGTAATAAAAGAGCTGATGGATTTTAATTGTGCTTTGTTGCTAGTACAGCTTTCTGCATGTTGATAGGAACTGGTAACCTGGGACAAGGTGAATTAACTCTTCCTCCCAAAGTTGAACTTGGAGTTTTAAAGTAAAAAAATTAAAACAATTTAATTTAATTTAATACATTGAAATTCTAGATGCCTTTTTAAAAATTGACTGTTAATTCTTGTGATTATACTCGATGCATTGTGCATCCTAAGCAAGCGTGAGTTTTACTTGTGTTCCCTCATCTTTTGATTTCGTAGCATGGACTCTTCCCTGAAATTTTCCAAATCGGATTCTTAGTCCATCCTTGAACCAGATAATCAGGCCAGCACAAACTATTGTGAGACAAAAAGCACAGAGTACTGCAGCTACAGCTGAGGTTTTCATATTAGCTTTAGACTGTACCATAACTGGAGGTGGCCCACTATCTATGCTACCTCCATAGCCTTTATTTCTGCAGTCTGGAGGGGCCCATCCAACATCACAGTGACAGTGTTTGAGAGTGTTACATACTCCCCGATTGTGGCACATTGTGACATTACAGTCATATTTCAAAGTAGACACATTGACACAACTACCTTCAATACACATCATGTTATTGCGACAAGGAGTACCATCTCTCACTGATCCAATATCATTTACCTTCATCCCAGAGTGGTAGTCAGTGCCCCAGCAATCTTCAAATTCAGTCGAAGTTTGAATTATTGTACTGTGATCCTCCAAAGAAGGAATTTGTGTATTTTCACACTGGATACGGCCACACAGGCTATCCCCAGTATCACATTTCTTGTAAATTCCATGTTTAAGGCCACAGTTGCCAAAGCGATCACCTTTATTATTCACTTCTATGAAGCAAACTTCAGAAGCGACTTTTGATCCACTACCAAATATCATTTTGCACTGCATATCATGAGTCGTGCAGTTCCCATGATAACAATACACGCCATTATTGCACACGGCGCCATCTTGCACATGCATGTCTTCTGGACAGTGCTCTGAGGTCCCATTGCAATATTCAGGGAGATCACAACTGCTAATCTTCTCTCTGCAAACAGTTCCACGTTGACGATACTGGCAGTTAGCACAGCACAGTCCAAAGGCACAAACAGCCGCAGGGCGCAACATACAATTAGCTTGACAGCAGGGATCTGACTTGCATTGTGTTTCTGACCCACAGTCACACTGCTCTCCCTTTTCCACTCTTTTGTTACCACAGGATTCAAACTTAAATGTTGTGTTAGTGTCTGGTGGGACAAATAAACACCCACTGTTTCTATAGTGGAAATAATCCTTGTAACTGCAGTTACTAAATGTATCACTCTCTGCTGCATAGGGTGCCATAATGCATTCAATCTTTCCACAATGACAAAATTGTTCATCATGCTGCATTCCAAGAACGTGTCCCAGTTCATGGGTAAATATGACAGACATATAAAACAAACTGGGAGTTCTATAGGATTCAATAGCACTTGCCCCATTCATGCTACATATAGTACCCATATATGCAAGTCCTACTGTTATCCCAAAATCTTTATAAGCAAATAAGTGACCAACATCATTCTTTAAAATGTTAACTAAATTGTATGTTCTCCATTCATTAAATGAGGCAAGTGTGTCATCTGCTACATGGGAAATTTTTATGAGATTTTTTTGTGACCAGATCACTAAGCCTGTTATTGATACATGAACAGAAAGTGCATCAAACAATGAATTTGCAGCATGCACAATATCTAGAACTCGCAAAGTAATAAAAGATACATTTCTGTGAAATTTCAAATATCGTTCATGATCAATCACAATTGCTACCTTAACATATCTCGTATGTGGCCACCAGGATTTTCCAAAAACATCTTTGTTTCCAAGATTCTGTGTTTCAGGAATTATGTCTTGTTGATGACTCTGTTGTTCCGCTCCTACTCCACAAGCCATTCGGAGAGCCCCTTCCTCTACTTCTAACCGAAACACCACGTGTTGAAAGGTAGAAGATTCCTGGACTGGTTCAATTTCATAGGTCTTATTTTCCATTTGCAGGAGACCTCTCAGTCCTCCTGAACATGTACTGAGGGTGACTCGAGAAGAGGACTTTCACTGTATAAATCCATGGTAGAAACAGTCATCCTTGATAAATGGATGATCCACCTGGAGATCTCCTGCTGTATCATAGGTGAAGACAGGAAAGGCCTTTGGGATGAAATTCCTTCTTTGCCTGAGGAACAACACCTGGGGATTCCTTCAATGTGCAGGAGGTAGCTGACATGCTGGGGTTCTTCTTGCCCATACTTGGGAGACAGCTTCCTCGGGATGATCACGTCGTAAGAGGCATATCTGAAGCCCTGAGGCGGTGCCTGTCTAGAAGCTGCATTTTGGATGATCTTCAGCAATACCACACTCAACAATGCCACACAGGTACTCATTTTCACAGAACGAGGGTAGAACCTGACATTATTCTGGAAAAGGGGGAGAGAGAGAGAGAGAGAAAGAGAGAGAGAGAGGGAGGGAGAGGGAGGGGAGAGAGAGAGAGAGAGAGAGAGAGGGAGAGAGGGAGAGAGGGAGAAACCTATTTGAAAATGAGGATTCTGAACATACCGGTAGCAACAGAAATGCAATAGATTTTTGGAATGGAGGCGGAGTTTAAACAACCAATGTAGAATAACTACTTTTCATATCCTAGTGTTCTTTAATTTATCTAACAGGAATAAATTGTATATTTTCTATGGTTGGCCCAAGGTGTGAATTGAAGTTCAATAATTTTAGTGGATAGTGAAGTAGCTTATCACATCAGAAGACATGTGGCTTTGTAAGAGCTCAAAATCAATAACCTGCTGAAGCTTCTAATTTCTAATTCATGCTTATTTGGCTTTTCCTCCTTTCATCCAGGTCATCTTTGGCTATAAAAGAATCTGAGGCTTTTTCATACCAAGTGGCTCAGTCTTTGCCTTAAGAATTTTCACAACTATTGGGGAGTGAGGGAGAATCTGTTAAAGACCACAAAGTTGCACTCTTAGCACAAACAACCCCAATTTTAAAGGCTGAACAGACTGTGGTTTTATGTTACATGAAAGATCAACAAGAAGAATAATTGTCCTGTTCAAGAAAGATTGCATTTGATTCTATAGATTCTATGCATCTGATGTTGAGTGGGATCAAAAGCCTACTAAAAATAGATTGTTTTGGTATCTTTGCTTCCTTTTTAACTTTTTCATTATCTGTTTCCAATGGTCTACAAATATTGTTTTATTTCTAGGTGCCTGTTGATGGCTGATTTGTTTGAATACCAAGATTCCAAGAATTCCCTTGCACTTTGAGAATGAGCTTGGTCTAGGATGACCGTTTCCCCATTCAAATTATAGTTGCGTCTCTCCATGTGTTGTGGGATTTTCATTGTGTCTTCTCGCTGCTAGTTGGTGTTCATGGCTGTGCTGTGCTAGCCTTTTGCTGTCTGTCATACCTAATAGTTGTTTCAGTCCTTACCCTGAATATTGTAGATGACTCCTGTTTTTTTTTTTTTTCCCATGGGGTTACCGGGTCTACTTGGTTTACTTTGGTTTATACTTTGGAGGGCTTTAGTTGATTTATATTCTGTGATGAATCCTTGTTATTATAATAGTCAGTGGTACCAGAACACATGGTCACCAGCAATCGACACCTATATAAGCAGGGATTAAACCATGTTAAATCAAAGTTTAATTATAATTTTCATTAGGGACTGTAGCAAAATTGCCCAAACTGAGTTGAAGCCATATCAGACACAGTTGCAAAAATTGTACATTGGAACATGTGAAACATGAAAGGTTTTTCATAAATCCATCTGAAAGAAAAATCATGTTAAAATGGAATGTAAAGACTAAGATGCCAAAAACACCCCCCCCCCAAGTTAGTTCATTTAGTCTTTATCCATGGCTTCCAAGCTTTTTATCTGATACCTTGTATGTTGTTATGGTTTATGATTTAGTGTTGATATTCTTCTTCTGTTGATTCTGTTGGATGAATTTTGCCCCCCCGTTTACGAAACACGTACATTAGTGTATTTCTGAAATGTACAACCAAGGCAAGAGAAATAACAGCACCACAAAGACTATATATTAATCCTCCTATCACTCTAGTTTTTGCAAAATGTCTACTCATATCCAGTTGTCCAGGTGATCCACTGTCTATGCTGCCCCCGTAGCCTTCATATTGACAGTTGGGAGGTTTCCACCCGTTATCACAGTGACAATGTTGACGGCTATTGCACACTCCCCGATTATGGCACTTTGTGACATTACAATCATACATTAAACTGGCTACACTGACACACTTCTGATGGATGCATATCATGCCACTGCCACAAGGGGTGCTATCCTTCACTGCACCAACATCCATGTCGATTCCAAGGTGGTAGTCGATACCCCAACATTGCTTATTGTCAATGGAAGTTTGAATTATCGTATTGTGTTCCTCCAAAGAAGGCAAGTGTTTCACATTTTCACACTGGATACGGCCACACAGGACATTCTCAACTTTACATTTCTTATATTTTTTATCTTTAAGGCCACAGTTTCCAAAACGATCCCCTTTGGTATTCATTTCCTTGAAGCAAACATCAGAAGCAGCTATTGCTGTGTTGCCAAAAATTGTTTTGCACTGTTTGTTGTGAGTGTTACAATTCCCATTATAACAATATTCACCATCTCTGCATGGGGCACCATCCAGCACATGAACATCTTCAGGACACCTTTCAGAAGTTCCATTGCAGTATTCAGGAAGATCACAACTGCTGGTCTTTGTTCTGCAAATAGTTCCAGCTGTTCGATACTGACAGTTGTTACAACATAAGCCAAATGCACAAGTAGCACCAGGACGCAACTTACAATTAGATTGGCAACAGGGATCTGACTTGCACTGATTTTCAGAACCACAATCACATTGCTCTCCATCATCCACTACCTTGTTTCCACAAAATTTGATGGTGTATATTCTACTTGGATTTGGTAGATCTAGTAAACACTTTGCATTTCTGTTCTTGAAATAATCCTTATAGCTACAATTGCTGAACTTATCATAGCCTGAAAGAACTTCAGCCATAATACACTGAACTTTTTCACATGAACAGTATTTTTTATCATGGCTCATTCCGAGATTATGTCCTAGCTCATGAACAAATATTAAAGATATAGTGAACAGGCTTGTGGTTATGTATTGTTCAACAGCAGATCCATAGTCATCTCTACAAATTCCTCCTGTGAATGCTAATCCTAGCTCACTAAAATGCTTGAATGCAAATAAATGAGCAGCATCATTCCTTAGACGTTTTTGTAGTGATCGCCTTCTCCAATCAGTGAAAGATCTAAGGGTCTTGTGTATGTCCCACTTAAGGTTTATGGGATTTCTTTGGGTCCAGATTTCCAGTCCAGCTAAAGACAGCTTAACAGACAGTGGCTCATATAATGAATTTGCCATATGAAGAATATCTATTACTCTCATAGCAACTAGAGTTTTATTTCTGTTAAATTTCAAATATCGTTCATAATCTATCACAAAAGCAATCTCTGCATGTCTAGTGTGCGGCCACCACTTGGAAGCACTTCTATCCTGTAGGTTTTTCATTTTTGGCATAATGGCCTTTTGAAACCATTCCTCTTCTTTTGTTAGTCCGCATCTCATCGAGATAGCAGCTTGTTCTTCTCCCAGAGAATATACAACATGCTGAAAGATAGCAGATGCCTCAACTGGCTCAATTTCATAAGTTTTATTTTCTAATTGCAAAATACCTCTGAGTCCTCCTGAGCAAAAGCTGAGAGTGACGAGAGAAGAGGGTTTATTCTGAACAAAGCCATGATAAAAACAATCATCTCTGATGAAAGGTTGGTCTATCTGGAGATCTCCTTCTTCATTATAGTAGAACACAGGGAAATGTTTAGGCACCAAACCCCACTTCTGTCTCAGATGCACCACTTGGTTATTCCCTCCAATCTGCAGTAAATAGCTTACATGCTCTGGTTCCTCATGTCCGGACTTGGGAGTCACTTTCCTTGGAATGATTGTTTCATAAGAAATACGCCTGAAGCCTGGAGGCCATCTCTCTTCAACGGTCTCAGCCAAGGCCTTCCTCAACAGCATCACAAATAGCCATGAAATGTACATATCCATTTCCCATCAAGAGAAAGAAGCCCATCAAAGTAGAACCTCTGACACCTTATTCGTGGAAAGAGAGTCCATTCTAACTTTTGTGGAGTAGAAAAAAATAAGGAAGGATGTGTACAAATCAGAAGTTGAAAGATTCTGACCATAGCAACAATACATGGAATTCTTTGGAATATGGGTGGAGCTTAATACAGCAAGAACAAAAACTGACAACCAAAGAACAGACAATACTGAGTTTTGAATTTGAGCACATGCCCCTTACAGGAAAGTTGGAAACAATCCATAAATGGATAATGATCGATTATTTAAATGGCCTGTTTAAGTGTATTGCTTCTGGAGTTTTGGCTGCATAATCCAAGATGCACTTGGATGCATAATCCAAGATGGTGGCATGTGCAGACACTGTGGCCCTGAGCTCCCGGTGTTGGGCTGTGTTTGGAATAATGTGTGTATGGATGTCTGTGAACAGTGGAGTGTATGGAGAAAAACGTGTCTACACCCATGCAGAGTTGCTAAACATTGGTCCCATAACATACTAAACTGCATGGTGAGACTTCCAGGTTCTCCATGGATCATTGTTGGATCTGGGAGGTGTTGACAGTGGCGAAAGGAGTGGAAACAGAAGTGTGGATGTAGAGCTGGTCTGTTAGCTCAGCTACGGAAGCAGCCCCACAGACCAGCAACTTTTTTTGACCAACGCCAGATCTCTCATCATAAAATCAACGAACTAGAGCTGCAGATAGCAGTAAGCAGGCTTATCTGCGAATGCTGTGTGATGATTGTCATGGAGACCTGGCTACATCCACTTGTACTCAATGCAACAGTGGGGCTAACTAGCCATGCCATCTACCATGCCATCTTCCATTTGATAGAAATGGCAACTCCGGTAAGAGCAAAAGTGGAAGACTTTGCATTTAGATATACAGCAACTGGTGCTAACAGCAGAGTAATATATACGTATTGTTCCCCAGATGTGGAATTAATGACTGTCATATGTAGGCCATTTTATCTGCCTAGAGAAATCATTGTGATAATTATTATCGCTGTTTATATTCCACTTGATGCCAATGTTAGCATGGTGCTCTCTAAGCTATAGGACGTCATCTCAAGGTAGTAGTAAACTCATCCCGAGGGTGCTTTTGTCGTGGCTGGGGACTTTAACCAAGCCTGTCTAAAGACTATTCTCCCTAAGTTTGTGCAGTGTGTGCAGTCCCCAACCAGAAGGAAGAACGCTTTAGACCATATGTACTCAAACTTAAAACAGGCATACAGAGCAATTCCCCTCCCTAACTTGGGCACATCCAACCATCTCTCTCTGCTGTTACGCCCAAAGTATGTCCCTCTTAGGAAAAGAACGCAGCCACTCATGAAAACTATTAAAATCTGGCCTGAGGGTGCATTCAGTCAGTTGCAGGATTGCTTTGAAACCACTGAGTGGAGCATATTTGAACATCTAGAACTTCATGAATACACCAACACCGTACTCTCATATATCAAAACATGCACTGATAATGTAACAGTGGACAAGTGCATCAGAGTCTACGGGAATTGTAAACCCTGGATGTTAGCAGAGGTACAGATACTTCTGAGAGCCCAGAATTCCATCTTTAAGACAAGGGACAAAGATAAATACAATGAGGCCAGGGCAAATCTACGGAGAGGCATCAAGGTAGCTAAACAAAAATATAAACAAAAGGTGGAGAACCATCTAGCAGACAACAATCTGAGGCAGGTGTGGCAGGGACTGCAGCATCTATCCAACTATAAGGGCAATATGCTGAAGACAGTCAATTCCGATGCCTAGTTGGTAGAGGAGTTGAACACCTTCTTCGCCAGCTATGAGGTCATGAGACCTGACCCTGTAGCCCTAGCCCATTTGCCCTCTGACTTTCAGCCACTCACCCTGCTTAAACACCAAGTGAGAACTGTATTGAAGTCCATGGATTCCAATAAAACTGCAGGTCCGGATGGGGTGGTGGGGATAGTGGTAAATACCTGTGCTGACCAACTATCAGAGGTTCTAACAATGTTTTTTAACATCTCCCTGCAAATGGTCAGTGTTCCATGAGGGTCTGAAAGCAGCAACTATCATTCCAGTCCCCCAAAAAACAGCAATAAACAGCCTGAATGATGACAGACCATTGCACCAACGTCTATAGTGATGAAGTGTTTCGAGAGACTGGTTCTTCAACACCTCAGGTCATGCTTTCCATCAAACTTCAACCAACATCAGTTCACCTACAGAGGTCAACAGGTGATGCCATTGCTACTGCCCTACATTCTGTACTGAGTCATTTAGAGAAACCTGGGAACTACGTCAGAATGCTTTTCATAGACTATAGCTTGGCTTTTAACACCATTTTGCCAGGCATCCTCATCAAAAAGTTGACTGATTTGAATTTCCCCTCTCTCACCTGTGATTGGATTGAAGGCTTTCTGATGGACCAGCCACAAACAGTGAGGCTGGGTCTTTCACATCCTCCTCCCTGAAACTCAGCACTGGCTCTCCCCAGGGCTATGTGCTCAGTCCCTACCTGTACTCGTACACATATGACTGCATGTCTTCTGATCCATCTAATGTGATAATAAAGTTTGCAAATGATTTCACTGTACTGAGTCTTATTACAGGAGGAGACGAATTAGCATACAGGAAAAAGTCCAGAAGTTATCCACATGGTGCTCAGAAAACAATTTGGATCTAAACACCAGCAAGACAAAGGAGATGGTGCTAGACTTCCGGAAGCAGAGAGAGGAACCTGCCACACACTACATCAAGGGGGGCTGTACAGAGAGGGTCTCCTCTTTCAAATTCCTGGGAGTCCACCTTAGCCAAGATCACACCTGGAAAAATAACACGATTCAGGTGGTCAGGAAGGCCCAACAGAGACTCCGTTTCCGTAGGGTCTTGCAGAAAAATCAGGTCGAACGACGACTGATGACTTCCTTTTACCGGTCTACAATAAAAAGCATCCTCACATATTTATGTTACAAATATGTCACATATTTATGTTACACATATTTATGTTATGCTGGCTTGACAGCCATGGGCAGAAAGGCATTACAGAGAGTCATGAGCACAGCACAAAAAATTATGGGCTGTCCCCTGACCCCACTGGAAGAAATCACCAGGATCCACTGCCTTAGCAGAGTGAGAAAAATCCTCAGGGATGATGCACACCTGGGTCAGCACTTCTTTATTCTCCTATCATCGGGCAGGAGATATAGAAGCATAGCCAGCTGAATGAATAGGCTGAAAAATAGCTTTTATCCATGGGCCGTCAGGCTTCTGAACGCAACATAACATCACAATTAGGTTTAATATGATAGACTTGCAGGGCCAGCGCAACGTGCAACATGTTCATACTGGTGTAATATAATACAATGCTATATACTGTACATATATGTATATGGGAATGTGTGCTAGTTATTACTTATTTAGGTTTAAGGATTTCTTTTTCTTTTATTTATTAAGTTATTGAGATGTATTCTGTGTTTCGTGGGGGCTGCACCAAGGGAGGCTCATTCAATTTCATTGTACACATGTGCATTGACAATAAAGGTTTGATTTGATTTGATTTGATTTTGATCCGAGTAACAAGATGGTTTGTGTTTCTATTAGCATTATGATGCAAACCCAAAGTCACATAATTTCTTTGTATAGCAAGTGATGAAGTACCTAGTACAGTGATGAAGTGACTCACCAGTTGTTTTCATTATAAAAATTAAGGAATCCTAGGGAACTTGAAGCCACGTTTAATTTTGGAGCATCAAGCATTGCTAATATTTTATCTTGATTAGATCACTACACCAAACCATCAATAAAGGCAGCTAAGAAGGGGATAGAGGAAATTCAATTTCTGTTTCTCTTTTAATGAATACCACACTGATCAAGTTCCTCCCCTATTGATTCCCAAACCAGAATATTAACATAGTATAACACAATATTGAATTTCCCCAAAATGTGGAATCTCCATGAAATGTTGAAATTTTTGCGACCTCAGGGATTCCAAACAGAATATGCTTAACTCTGAATACTCTGTGATGGATAATAACAGTTTGGACATTCATTATCAAATCATTAATAGCCAGTTGCTGATACGGTTCAGTTAGGTAAAATTGTGCAAACACTCTATGTAGCAAGTATAGCAAGAGTTGTTGTAGGGGGAAAATGTGTTTGATATGTTTGTCTTCTTCAGTTATTTGTAGAAAATAAAGATGGAATATATATTATAAAATGTTTAAGTACCTTATTTATGTTTCTGTAGTTCTTATTTCCCATTAGGTTTTAACAATGCCACAATGGCCATAGCTGCTGCATTTGCTCCACACCTTTATGCTTAACATGATTTTCAAGTTCTTGTTCAATTTTTCCACATAAGACAAAAGGCGAATATCTGGATTTTATGTGAATTGGTTCAACAAATACACTGAAATGGTATAACAGTACTTTCCTGCGACAGTCTCCCAATTCCTCAGAGAAACTAATAGATTTTCAACATCTATTAATCGCTTTGAGTGAGTGTTGACCAATACCGATGATATTCATCTCTTGAGTTGATTCCTTCTGATAAGAATCAGCTCCTTCTTAAAATTTCCTATTTCATAACAATGATCTGGAAGATTTGGGAAAGAGATACCACACATCTATATTGTTGCTTCCAACAACTTTCTTTTCAGCATAATCACAGATAAAACATGACGACTTCCACACGCTGACCATAGCCAGCAGCTAAGGCATGTCACCTAGCAGGACTCAGGAGAGTCTTTATGCCATGGCACCTGCATTTTAGACCTTTCCTTCCAACATTAGATGGGCCTGATCCTGCTGGCCTTCTACAAGGTGCTGAAAACTTGGATTTGTGCCCTGGCCTGGGATTGGGGTTAGGGGTATGTGATAAAGCCTGCCTCTTGGCTGTGTTGGTGGTCATTTTATATGTTCAGTTGCTATGTGTTTTTTGTATTATGTGATTTATTTATTGTATTATACATTGCCTAAAGTCATGTGTGTAAGATGGGCAGCTGTGTAAGTTGAATAAATAATAAAATAAAATAAAGACTACTACAATGTGGCAGATGCCTCTTTGTAGGAAGGAGGTTGTTCTACCTGTCTTCAAGAAGATGATAGTTTTATCCTTACTCACAAGACGATTACTGGTTTCAACTCTACTGGACAATTCTCATCTAGACACCAACCTTCTCTTTTTGGGGATCATAACTGAGAATGCATAGCTCCAAAACGCTCTGGAAGAAATGGGTTATCTGGATCTCTAGCAGTTGGGTTTCATATCAAGATATAGCATTGACAACAGTTATCATATTAGTTTACTCTTGTGGCCTGGGAAGGG